AAAAAAAAAAAAAAGAAAAAAGTTATCAACTTCACTCTACAGCTGAATGACAGCCTAGAGGCCAAGAAATCCACCCAGGTTAACACAGAACCAGGTTTCAAAATCAGTTCTGTCTGATCTTCCTACAGTTATTCTGTACATCTTTCCCGCCAAAAAAACTGTTAGAAAGTTGGACATCACATCATAAAGATCAATAATGAAGAATGGAGCTGTTAAATAAAAACTCAAGAATACTTATAAATTTTAAGTTGTAAAATTTTAGCTCTGAGGGGCTGGGGAGATAGCTCAGTAGGATAAGCACTTGTCTGGCAAGTGCAAGGGCCTGAGTTCAATCCCCAGTCCTGCCAAAAAACCCCAAACAAACAAAACAAAAACAAAAATTTTAGCTCTGAAAATCACAACAGATACAAAACAGTGCTAACTTCTAGGCAGGAGTACATGGACTTTTAAAAGCAAGGTTTTACATCCTCTCACCCCCACTTTTCCAAGGTGCTGGAGGGCCCTGCGAGAAGGCGCACACTCAGAAGTGAGGTGGACAGGGGTGGAGTCATTTCTTGGACAGCAAGAAGCATAATACTCACAAGGTGTGGTGTGCTTAAGCACCTGCTGGCTATGAGTGTCTTGCCCCTGCCGTGGAGGTACAATAAGAATCTTCACAGGAGAAATTCACTTGCTAGACTTGAACAGGGGGCTGGGGAACACAGCTCAGGGGTAGCATGCATCGATACACTGGGGCTACACCTCTAGCCCCAGGAAACAGAGACATAGAAATTTACCTTATTCTTTACTGGCTCAATATTCTTTACAGGTGTTACAGAAATAATTCTCACAGGATTCTCTTCATTTTCACTAACTCCAGTCTCTGGTGTCTCGGAACTCTGTTCCCTAGTAAGGAAAAATAAACCAAATTTTCTGTATCTTACCACATGAAAATTGGTACATCTTTTCACTGTACCAATAAGGAAAGGCTTAGACTGGTTGAGAAACCTCACCAAGTAACAAGGTTACAAACTATGGCTTAATTATAGCACCTGACTCACTTTCATTTAACATTACAAATGGTCTAAAAACCACCTGACAAAGACTCCATAAACAAAACGTCATTATTCTAAGCATTATCTCATGGGGGTGGGGAAACCAAACAAAACTGTAAGTATAGATCACAGTACAGCAGAGTCATCCCAGTGTTTGGCATCATCTGAAAAGGAGGGGCTATAAGGAGAAAAGGCTGCTCAGGTGCCTGAATCCCCATCATATCTTTAAACCACAGATACCTGTCTTCATTTTATATTTGATATATTTGAGTTCTAGCACAAAAAACAGTTCAAACATTACTGATTTAGTTTATCCTTAGGATTGCATGGATGTCAGATATGGAGGTGCAATTCTGCAGTCCCCACACTTGGAGCTGAAGCAGGAGGATTACTGCAAGTTCAGTGCTACACACACAGTGAGTTCAGTGTTCAGTGAGAGTTGCCTCAAACCCCCCCAAAAAGATTTCACAGAAACAATACAATTTTATAATTGAGAATGTACTTCAGCAGAATGCTAGCCTATCCCATGTGGGGTCTTAAGTCCAACAATACATTAAAAAAAAAAAAATCAAATCTTTTAAATCTTTACACATCAACATCTAGAATTTTACTTAGAAGAGTTGGCTGGAAAGTTTTTGTTTATTTGTTTTTAAGGTGAGACTAGTCCAGGCTGGTCTTAAACTTGTGATTCTCCTGCCTCAGCCCCTCATGTGCTGATATTCCTGGCATGTACCACCAACCTTGTCTGCTTTTGTTAACATTAACCTGTGTGGTGCTGGGGATTAAACTCAGGGCGATAAACCACTGAGCTATACACCTTCAACCCTTTTTCTGTTAACTTTTCTATGTACTTAGAATGCTATATCATTTAAAAATAAATACATTCTTGATTATTAAAAATACTAAAATTCAAGCTGACCATGTAGCTCAGTGGTAGAGTACTTGTCTACCATATAGAAAGCCCTTAGGGTGACACCCAGGCCTGCAAAAAAATTAAGCAAAACTAAAATCATTAGTATTGTTCTGTGCTTAAAAACATAGATGTCTATTTTGTGATAAAGCGCTTTTGGAATAGGTTGAAAGGTAAACCAAGTAATAAGAGAAAAAAAATTAGAGAAAAAAATTGCCTTGCTCGATTTCCTGTTGAGGAGTTCAGTTCTGAATTTACACTGACATTGCTCCCAGTCTCAGTGCCAGTGCTTCTAACATAGGGTTTCCTTCCTGTTGCTGATAGAGGCTTATTTACTGCACCCAGTACTCCAGTAGGTTTTGGCTTTCCTGTTAACAGAAGCACTCTTGTCTCTTCTGAAATATAACTCTTGTCATTACAAAAGTCCTTTTCAGGTTAAGTGAAAAACTTCATTGGGAGGACTGGATCCTTTGGTGAGTCTGCATTACACAGAGCACTCTTACTGTTTATGACACACAGAGCCACATCACATA